CTCTCTCTCTCTCTCTCTCTCTCTCTCTCTCTCTCTCTCTCTCTCTCTCTCTCTCTCTCTGTGTGTCTCTCTACTTTTCTTTCTCTGCGTCTACCCTTCTCACGCCTTGTCTCTGCCTCTGCTGCTACTATACAGAGATTATCCCATTACTGAAAGGTCTATGGCAAAAGTGAATTCCGACCCTCCTCTTTTGAACAAATTGAAACTGTCTTTTGCACCTAATCTTCAGCACTTTTATGACCTTATTGTGTTGCAAGCGCTGTAAAACCTCTACTAAAACCTAAAATATGACCTTATTGTGTTGCAAGCGCTGTAAAACCTCTACTAAAACCTAAAATATGACCTTATTGTGTTGCAAGTGCCGTTAAGCAATTACTGAAACTAAAAATGTATCCATCTCAGCCAGAGCTGTCTCTGCTGATAGGTGGGGTCAGAAACCTGCCTCCTAATTGTCTTGAGTAGGATGTAAAAAAAACTCTACATTTTTATTCCTTCTCGGCAGGCTCAGCTGGTGGGCATGAGGACGGACATCTTGGACCTCCAGTCCAGCAAGGAGACGGTGGAGAAGGAGCTGCACACCTTGTTACTGCAGCTACACGCCTCGCAGCTGGAGCTACATGAGCTCAGGGGACTCGAGGTCGACTCGCAGGAGATCAAGAAGAAACTGGTGAGTGAGTGGTGGTGATGATGATGTTGATGATGAGTGTAGTTTTACTACTAAGAGTTGTACTGCACTTCCAGCACAATTGGTCATTATATAGGTGCCGAAGTGAGAATGATCAATAGCTTTTGTATTATAATAGCTCTATGCGCTTTACAATTTATATTCTAAAGTAATATACAAAGAAAGAAAAGGAAGAAAGATAAAGACAGCAGATGTTTGAGAGGAAAGAAGGAGCGAACCACACCAGAGCACCCACCAACCACCCACTGATGATGAAGATAATGACTGATAATAATAATGATGATGATGGTGATAATAACAATAAGAATTATAATACACTGCTTGATATTCTAAATAGTTTTCAATTGCAGTATTAATAATGATGGTGCTGATAATTTGAATAATAATTGATTGCATTATGGTCATCGGCGTAGATTTCTAGTGGAAAGTGGGCTCTATACTCTTTTGAATTTATTTGTTACTGATCCTGCAACATGTTGTTCAGAAATGCGTTCAGTTTTCTGGGAAGCACCAGTGCCAACTGCCATTTTGAAGGCTTTAAGCTTTTATACACTTACACACTGACAGCTTCGCTCATTTTTATGTTCTTGGTTTGATGAAATGCTTTGAATGTTATCATGCTAGTACCTGTGTTCTCACAGTTGTGGTGTGATGATTAAGCACACTGTCATGTCCAGTTGGAGACATGTGTTCAATTCCCAGTGGGAGAGTTGTTGTTTGGTTTTTTATTGCATATCTCCATCTGTCTGCTTGGATGTTGTATTACCGTTAGTCCTGCTTGGCTCTTATTGGCAGGGTTCAAGTAGCCGCCTCCTAAATGATATGAATTGTGTCAATAAGAGTGTTAGTTTTACAATTACGTGAAAACTGTTTTAGAAGCAAATATTTCAGTGCTTAAGCTCTTCTGTGTTCCCTGGCAACATCTCAGGAGTAGTCGACTACAGGTCACTCAGCCCAAATAGCTACTGATTTACTCTCATATTATACAAAGGGGGGAGTTTCTATCACAAGAACATAATGCTCCTCACCTTTGAGGGAACTGATGCCGTTGTCTGAGGTATATGGTTAATTGTTTGTATTGACCCTATCATTCTTGCCAGTTCTAAGTTAGTTAAGTTCTGGTTGGCCGTGAGAAGTAGGGTTGAAGCAGCCCGCTTCTTAATCACCCAAACTGTGTCAGTTTGGGGCATAAAACATTTACAATTACAATTTTATTTCTTTAAAAATGTAAACTGCTGCTTTTTAAACTGAATTTTTACTATGCATTTTTAGATACTTCAACCTTTCCAACTTTCAAAGTAAAAATGGACCATGCTATGAACTAATGTTAAAACAACCAACATGTAACCCACGTGCTTACATTATGACCGTATGCAGTTGTTAGCTCCGTACAACTTTCCACAAAACAAACTAAACTAAATAAAACTACTGACTGCTTGTCCAGGAGTCTGAGATGGCTGGTCGTCAACAGAGCGCCCAGGCACTGGCTCGGCTGGAGGCTGAGGTGAAGATGTACCGTAAGGATAACCAGGAGCTGCGTCAGTACATCCTGGCCCTGCAGAGTGAAGTCTACGGCGCCCGGCTGGCAGCCAAGTATTTGGACAAGGAGCTGGCTGGCAGGTAAGTCAGAAGTACACCCTGGACCATCTCCACCGTGTGACTTGTGCCGGTGCCAGCGCTTCAAAACTTTGGCCAAACTGAAACCGACTGATTGTTAATTGGGCCTTTACACCCCCTTCAAAGCAATTTGGATTATTGAACAGGCTGGTTTTGTCTTTTCTACCCCCCATCCACATAGTTCAGATTTCTTAAAGAGGCCAGTCTCACATGTTTACATACCCCAATCAACACAATTTATACTATTGAAGAGACTAGTTACAGTAAAGGTTTTATGCCGTCATGTTAAATTATTGAAGAGGCAGGTTGTTAATGTGTTTCTCCCCAATCAACGCAATATTATGCATCATTTAGGAGTCAGGCTGCTTTGTCTCTGTCAGGATCTGCTCAGACTGAATGTGGCTTTCAGTTAGTGTACTTCGTACTGGTGCTTTGTGGGAATGTTGATGTGATCTTATGTACTTGGCGTTTTGTAGAGCTTTTTTTTTTAAAACCCCTCAAAAACCTTTTTGTCTGTTTACTAGTGAAATAAATGGCAGTTACCCTTTTAGCCCGCCGTCATTGTTTACCATTCCACAATTGCCCACTTGCTCATTTCAAATGATTTCTACAAAACACATCAAAAGAGTGCATGTCAGCTTCTGCTCATGCTGCTGGAAGCATTGTAAGATACAGAGGTGTTCTTACAGCCTTTATGAGATTTGTTATGGTATAGGTAGAAAAGAGAGATGGGTGGGTGGAGGGGGGGTTCAGTGAATTTTGGTTTCCTTTTAATGGACAAACTTCAGAGTAATAATCAGCAGGGATTCAGTTATCCATCAAGTTCTTCCTCCTCCCCCACAAACTGAGCCCAAGAGCAAAGACTGTGCTCTACCTGTCGGGTATTTGTTGAGAGGGAGTATGCTTGTTGCTTACAGTGTGGAGAAATGAAGACAACCCTAATATCTTGTCTCACAACACTCCCCCCCTCCCCTCCACCCCTGTACCACATTGCCTGTGCACCAGCCCTCCCCGCAGTCATAAATCGTCCCACTTTCTGTTCCCGCGTCATGTTTTCTAGTGACGCCAGTAGCTGTCGTGTGTCAGGTGTGGACCTGTCAGACGTTTTCTCGGACAGATGGCAGCCCGGCCTCAGGTATTTGTGCCGTGTCAGCCTCTCCAACGGAACCAGAAACACAAGCAGGTATTTCTTCCTTTCTCCTGATATCCAACTTTCATTCATTAGGCTATTGTCGTACAAGTTGTTTACTTAAAACACATAATTGGTTCCGCCTCTTATTTTACGTAATCGTGTTGATAGAGGCTTTAAACCCAAACCATTTCA